AATTGTGGTTTTTGATAGCAGGTGTAGATGAGACTGATCTACCAATGGAAAGATTAAACCAAAGGCCAAACTTTAAAGAAAGTACATTTACATGGGTTGAAAAGCATAAAAATGAAGTGTTGATGTTGCTTATGATGATGTAATTGAAATAGTATCGCCCTTTGATAATGTTCTCAACAAAGAGTTTTCTATCAATTTATATAGCAGTCAAATTCCTGAAATCTTAGTGTATACTTAAACTATGTTTTTTAAAAAAACTTTTTATCTTTAGTAGATACAAGTTCTAGGCTTAGGTCATTATAAATAGGTTTTTCACCCACATCAGTGTCTAGCACAGACAGAGGACAGCTGTGTCAGACATAAGCATTCTGTTCATAACAAGACCCCACTAGGTGTCATTCCTATCACTAGGACAATCAAAAAGCAACTCTAAAATTATAAAAATTTCCAACTAATTTTAGAAAACCTGAGCTTTATGGTAGGAATATTTAAAACTGTGGACCCATCCAGACTTAAGATACTATCTTAAGCCTATTCTTTTCTTGGATACATTTTAATGATGTCTTTTTTCTATACTTTTTATTTGAAAATATAATGCTGCCGTAGATCTAATTCTCCTTTTAACATTTGCCCTTATTCATTCCTAGTAAGATTAGACTTAAGTATTCAGGGATGATGAAAGAAAAATTTTCTTCCATATATATTATGGACTTTTTTGTTATTTTCATTAGAAAATAGGCTGTAGTGGAAGTTGGTCCTGCCACTGAGCAAGGGCCCAATGAGCTTGTTCAGTGAAACTCTGGGTTTTCTCAAGAAGCACGTTCAAATAACAAAAATTACCGTCACAAACTCATGTTCTGTAGATGAAATGAGAACCCATTTCTCTTACCTCAAGAAGGACTAACACATGTAAAGTCTAGAACGGTGCTTATTAATTTTTGATGTTCATGGATGACTTATGGGTAATCTGTGAACCCCCAAAACTAGCAGAACTGTCTGTGGGCATTTGTGCATACTTTAGAAGAGAGTCCATTGAGATAATCAAAGGAGGGGGAACTGATTAAGTAAACGAATAATAAGACCTCATTATAGAAAGAAGGCAGAGGAGAGATTTGAGTCTGTAAAATCTTAAGGAAGATAATTGATTAGGTTAGAAGTTAAGACTACTATTGAAATAGTGAGTTTTTAAAGAAGCTGAAAAATGTTCCTTGGAAGAACAAATAATGAACCTATAGGAATTATTATTCTACCCTTCCAAGAAATCATATGTGCAAAAACTACAAGTAGATTCATAAAAGCTTAGCCCACGAGCTCTTTCAGGAGTAAAGGAAGCAAGGGTGGTAGGAGGTAGGAAAAGCAAGCAATGAGCTCTCCCTGTCCCCAGGCTTCCTCCAGCCACTGTCAAGGAGAATCCTAGAGGAGATTCGTCACTGTGACCCTCATGCAGCTGTCAGACCCAGTGCATACTCTTGTTTCCAGTTATGTCATAATAGTGCCGGGAAATGTGGGTTGTTAAATATGTAGTTCTGTTAAATGCACTTGTTTCTGTTCAGTATTAGTTTGCCTCACACCCTCAAAAGAAATTCATTCATTTCAAAAGAAAATTTCATTGTTGTAAAACATCAATATTTTAAGAGGGGAATGTTTGTATCATTAAAATAAGATTTGAATCAAAGCAAAATACTGAGTCAAACCCACACCCCATCTTTGTACACAAATCTCTTATTGAATTAATTATAACCTGGAATTATTAGGACTTTGACAGCTCTTGTACTCTGTGTCATTCTCAAAGTAGAGTATAAGGTGTTGCTGAATTTCTCTTGATGATGATTGATGACAAGAGCTAATAGTCATTGAGTCTTTGTAAAAGCATGTGACATGTTTGTTCATTTTGTGCCCACAAGAACTCTAGGAGATCTGTGCAGTTAATATTCTCATGTAACAAATGAAGAAACAGAACAGATCCTGTGCCCAACTCAGAGTTTCATATTTAGAAGTGACAGAGCTGGGTACCATACCTAGTCATCTGGCCTCTGAGGCCACACTCAATGACTTTGCCTCTTCTGCACTTTCACTTCGACTAAAATCATTGAAAGAAGTGATCATTTAAATTTAAAGACTGCACGAACAATCTGAGAGAAGTTTGAATCTTGTTATATGAACAATGGAAAACTAAATGAGAAGACTTACGTGGTATAAGTGACTATCAAAGACCACAGTACTGAAGGTTCACCTGACATTACATCCGCAGAGTGGAGTTCTCAGAAATATGTTATTGGTCGACTTCTTTCTTTCTCTTTAATAAAGTGTTCCAAAGATACAGCAAGGATGAACTCGCCATCTGTTTTATGGCTTCCGTTCCCATTGAAGGAGTAGTATGCCAGCCTTCCCCCATCTTGGGTTTCCCAGAATGCACGGCCACGGGAGAGGCCGCCTCTGCTGCAGGCTGTCAGCGGGCTTTGTTGAAGGGGGCTTCTTTTGGGTGCATTTCTCCATTATATAGTGCCACTGCTTGTCTTTTCTCTCTCTCTTTCTAAATGACACCCTGAAGACTGTGTCACCACTTACGGAAGACTCTTGTTACTCTTGAAGGATATTCAGAGTGGCCACAATGTTCTGTCAGCAGTCCTCATCTTACCTTTGTGTTCATGTGGGATGTCCTGTCTTTATTTGATTATATACAATAAAGGTAACTCTTGGCCAGATTTTCTAAAGTGGCTCATCAGAGAAGACTGCATCAGAACCCCCTTGGAATTTTTCAAAAAGGAAGATTCTCAAGTCCCATCTCAGATTTGCCAGATCACCAACTTGTATAGAAGTAACTATAGTACAAAGTTTTTAAAAAGAAAATAAATTAAGTTTCTTTTGTTGTTGTTGTTATTACTGTTTTGCAGTGCTGAGAATTGAACCCAGGGCCTTCTGCTTACTGGGCAGGTACTCTGCCACTGAGCTACATCCCCAGCCTGCTAAATAAGTTTCTTAAAGGTAGAGAAGCAGCTACTTCTAGAGAGCAGAAGTCAGAAATCCACTGGAGGATTTTTGTGTTGTTTAATGCACAACATACACATTTGAATGATTCTTCATTCAGTACACATAAAGGCATGTAGTTTGCTTGTCATTTTCTTCACTAGCTCACTGGGATGATTTCTAGAATTTTCAAAATTTATAGAAACGAAGGCATATTATTAATGGCCACTACATTTTAAAGTGGGGATAGAGGGCCGGGGATTTAGCTCAGTGGTGCCACCGCCTGCCTCACAAGCTCAAGGTCCCGAGTTGGATCCCTGGTATCAAAACAAACAAAAAACAAACAAAAAAAATGGGGATAGAGTTTTACCATCCATAAATTTCCATGCACCTTGGGTTCTCAGGATGGTTCTGTTTTAATTTTTTAATTGGAGATTATTCAGCTCCAATGTACACTGAGCAAATAATTACGATGCATTCAGCTGCCTCTTCAGTGTTGATATGTGCAGAGCTTGTCTCAGGTGTTAGTGATGCTTTCAATTCTTTTTGTTTAAAAAAATCACTATTCTCATCATTATCATCAGTGTACAGTGGGACTATGAGTAATACTCCTCAAAATAAGTAAAAAGAAATAGATTGACAAGTTTGAGCAAGGGAAAAAGAGGAAAAATAACATTCGTTTACCACTGTGTGTCAAGTACTATGCCATGCCAATTTCAGAGAGATTAAGTAGATGTACTATTCTGGAACCAAGAAAATAGAGATTGTAGATCATCAGTGACCTAGTGGCTTTTATGGGGAAGTATCATGTTCACTTACTGACCACGGGTGAGGATTTGGTGCATTGGTTCTGGAAGGTGCCAACTAAAATACAACATAGTGTTATACCTTAGGAAGTATACAGTCTCTCTCTCTTCCTTCCTTCCTTCCTTCCTTCCTTTCTTTTTCTTTCTTTTCATTCTTTTCTTTTCAGCTAAATCCCCAGCCCTAGTGTACAGTCTCTTGAAGAAGGAAACATTTACACAGACAACCAGCAAGGAAGTGAAGGGCACTAACATTTGCACCTACTGCACTATGCACTTGGGATATGTTATCTCATTAAGCTTCATTGCAAAGTGGTTGCATATAAATAAGGAAAGTGTGGTTCAGAGAAAGCATGTTGTCTAAAGTGCGTGTCTAACGTGTGTGTGTGTGTGTGTGTGTGTTTATGGTGGTTAAAAAGACAGACTCTTGTGTGCTGTGCCTACGTGGTTAAGAGTCAGTAGCACTTAGGCAGACAGAAGGTCCAAGTGTGCTGGCAGCAAAAGCAGAGGATCTGAAAAGTATATGAGAATGGGCACCAGGCCATTTCCTTGAAGCACTCGTGCCAGGAAGATTGTGCCATGCTTCAAGCTTTAGCTAGGGAGAAGGAGACAAAGGGCCAAGTTCAAGAATTATCTGCCTTTAGATTTTAATTTTAGAAGGAAAAAATATATCAGAACCCTTTTCCTCCTTGATACTCTTTGACTTTAAAAATGAATGACATGTTAAAACAAATGCCAGAGTCAGGTGTGGTAGTGCATACCTGTAATCCTAGCTGTCTGGGAGGATGAGGCTGGAGGATTACAAGTTCAAGCCCAGCCTAGGAAACTTAGCTGCTTAGTGAGACTCTGTCTCAAAATAAATAAAGAGCTGGGGATATAGCTCAATGTGAAAGCCCTGGGTTCAATCCCCAGTACTGTAAAATAAAAGCCATTTTTAAGAACTGATTTGTTTGTAGTACTTTTTTTTTCTTCTTGGTACCAGGAATCAAACTCAGGGCCTTGCACATGCCAGGCTGGCACTGTCCTGCTGAGGTACATCACCAGCCCTGTAATACATTTTTATTGTGATTATAAAATCTTTAAAGGTAACTTTAAAATGAAAATTCTGATAACACAAGTGTTAATATCTTCACTTGAGCCGACACAAAATTAGAATATGGATTTCATTTTAAACTAGTTCACATTAAAATATGCAGAATTAATGAAGGTTTTTTTCCCCCCACTGTTTAGGAAATACCAGAAAGGAACCAGGGTCCGACTGCGGCTCTTAGATCTTGAGCTCACTTCTAGGTTCCTGGGAGCAACCACAGACACAACTATCCTGGAGGCGGATGCAGTTCTCTTAGGACTCCAGGACAGCAGAGACCCAAAACCTAAAGTGGAACATGAAAACGAAATTAACTTTGCTTAGTACATTCACACCTTCTTTGTTGAACCCAAATTTTTAGCAAGAATGTGATTAGAAAATTATGAATAAATAATTGCAGGGGATGTAATAAATGAAAACTGTAATGATACCTCTTGTTAGAATTTTCTTTAGCTCTACCCCCTGCCCCCTTAACCCATTTTTTTCCTTTGATGGGGATAATGTGAAGTAAACTCTACTGCAAAATTCTGTCACTCAGTAAGTATATTTTGGGTGCATCTTCAGTTTCCTACATATCATTCTTTTGAAGTTCACCTTTTTGTTCTGCTGTGTCATTTGCAGTCCTCTGTTTGCAGCCTTGATGAAAACGTCCATCAGAACCTCCATCTACCTTCATCCTAGGGAAATACCTCAAAGCCCAATATCTAGTTCAAGTCAGACAGGTGGGAATAGCTAGAGAACCAGTTCTCAGGATGCAATCTTTATTCCTTTAATTTTTTATTGCTATATGTTTGTGATATGTAAGAACTACATTTGTTTTGGGGAACTGGTACAGTGGCACCTTCATTCACGAACTTAATTCTTTCCATGATTGCAACCAGAATCATGGAATGAATTCTATGACCAGAATTGTGGAAAGAACAAAAAACAAAACAAATGAGAATACTTATTACAACTACCCTATTGCTATTGCACATTAGTCATACTATCTGTTGTTAATTACCTATTGCTAAGTAACAAATTATCTCCAATATTAACAATTTATTATCTCATTGTCCTGATTCAGGGCTGTTACAAAGCTTCATCCAACTTGTCAGCCATGGCCTGAGTCTCATCTGAGGTTCAAGTAGGGAGGCATCTCCTCCCAAACCCACCTTTGTGTTTGGTAGGGTTCAGTTTTCTGAGGCCTGTTAGACTGAGGATTTCAGTTGCTTGCTGCTGCTGGCTTTGGCTGGACATCATCTTCATTTCCTTGCCATGTGGGCCTCCTCAACATGGCATCTTACTTCATGAGAACCAGGGACAGAGACAAAGATTGGAAGGAGGCCCATCTTAGGAAACCTATTCAAAGAAGTGGTGTCCTGTCAATATTGCCATATTCTGTTGGTTAAAATCAAATTATTGAAGAGCAATGATAATGCAAAGCCACAAGCAAAAGGAAGTGAGGGCCACTGGGGCCATTAGAAGCTGCCAACCACAGTAGGTGGGAAGCATGATTTTCTATACAGTTCATAGATCTCTAGAGCAGAGTAGCAGGATCTGGACCTAATATCGATCACAAGGTCCTGGCCTTTTAGCAAGTGTTGCGATTTGTTGAGGCTTTGGGAAGGGGGTTTACAGGATGGGGTGAGTGAGTTTTACAGATGGGGGGGGGATGTGAATGGGTTTGACCAAGAGGATAACTATGATAGACTGAATGACCAATCCTAATGTTTCACCCTCTGTAGCAGAGCCCTTGCTATGGTCTCATTGTAGGTAGGGGAGGTCCCTTGCCATTGTGGGACTTAGTTCTACAATTGATGTAAGCTAAAGTTGTAAATAAGTTCCGGAAAGGTTTAGATGAGTCTATGAATAGTAAACCCAGATTTCAGTATTAAAGAAAACCAGGGAGTTTGAAATACATCCCCAAACTTCTGAGCCCAACATTAGTGGAGTACTGTAAAACCTTGAAGCCACAGGCTGGTTAGACCATCAGGCTGACCCAGTATTGCATTTCTTATATTCATATCATTTGGTTTTAAAAGATAAATACACATTTTAGTATGAATTCCTAAGGGAAACATGTAGTTTATTTGAAAAGATTAACTTTCCCCCCATGTTTCTTTTATACTAATTACAAAGAACTCAGAGATATCCTGACCCAAAGGAGGTAGAACAAGGAAAATTCTATGAAAGAATGTGTCTTGTTTAAAGTTCTCAAACCTGTATTCTACATGTGGGAGATGGAAAACAGGATTTTGAACACAGAATGTTAATCTCCAGGTAAGGAATTATATGGACCCTGAAATCATCCTATGAAGAGATGAAATCTTTCAAAACCAAAAAGTGGCTCAGATTACTACCATTTACTTCACAAAATTGCCTGCCTGAAAAAACAATCCAACTGTTTTACCCTACTGTATAAGTCTCAAATCATTATGGTTTGGGAAAAATGCACATGAGGCTATGATAGCAATAATTAGTTCAAATGAATGAATAAAAGAAAGCAAGATAGTATGTTTTTTCCAGGCAACATTTAAATGCAGAAGCTTTCATTTTAGATGCAGTAAATACACAGAAGCCAGCAGATAAAGATGATGTCCCAGCTCCCAAGACCATACCCAAAGGAGTGGGAATTCCACCAGCCAGGCAGCTAGGACAAAGATTGTGGAAATACTGGGAGCCCTCTTGGTTGGAAATAATGGTATGTCTGAGCTATGTTGCTGCATGATGATCTTAGATATATTTAGTGATGTCCAATATTCCAGTAAATTTCCAAAATAGAACCACAAAATAGATGACAATTTAAAGTAATCCCATGCCTGTAATTAAGTTTTTTATTTAAAAAAAATCAGTCTGCTTCATTAGTCTTTTCAATCTCTGTTAACACTTCTTTTCCCATTCATCCTCTGCTGCAGGTGTTACCAAAATTTGAAATGACAAATGAAAAGTCCAAGTGGATATTATCATCAATCTCCATGTATTCTAACTTACATGTTACTTGATAGGTGTGGATAAGAGCTAGAAAAACCAGAAAAGATAGTATTTCACAGGGAGCAAAAAGGAAAGTGAATATAAAGTTGAGTCCTCTACTAAGTCAGAACTTAAAGCCTTACTTGTGTGACGTGAATTAATGCTACCATGGTTATCTTGTGAACAGTTTTCTCAGACTGCTTGCCGAGGCAGGAAGTGAGATAGGGTGGGTGTAGGCTGGATGGCCCTTGAGAAGCTTAGTAATGTGCAAGAAGATGACAGTGCTTCCATGGTTATTAAAGAAAAACAGACACAAAACTCTCCTGCAGCTAAAATTGCAGCTGATTAGATAAGGCTTGCTCATCCCATAGGCTGAGGATTTGTTTTGACTGCTCCTCTTGTCCTGCCCCAGGACAGAGACTAGCTTCTGCTTTCACCAGGGTGCTCCCTCAGCCACGGCTTCAAAGTATCTAGACAGCTCCAACCCAAGCCTAGGAAAGCGTGGCCAGGAGGAAGTTAGGTGTCCTCTCTCCCACCTGTGGAAGGGCCTGTTTTGTCAAGTTCATTTCCTATTCCAGTGCCGTTCTGCTCCCTGTGAAAGGTTCAGGGACAGCCACAAAAGTGTGGCCCTTCTCTGGGGCCTAAATATTACATGGCTATTAGCACAAAACACATCTTCACATCTGTAGAACAGTCATAGAGAGGCACGGGATCATTTGCCCATGTTCTCTCTGCCCCACGGCCTCATCTGTGGGGACCTGCCACTGTCTACCTTCACCACAAAATCTGTGCACAGCCAAGCTACCCAGACCCTTCATACTGTTTCTACTGCTGTCAACTCCCTCCCTGTCCTCATCTCTCCATCTATAGAAATGCTATATCAAATTGTTTCCCCAGTGTAGATTAGACTTAGCGTCTTAAAATAATTTGGGGCTATCTAAAAAATAGAATCTTTTTGTTTTGTGCTATTTTTAATGACATCTTAACATAGTAGATAGTTTTTAGGAGAGTATTTTATTGGTCAAAAACTCTGCAAGCTCCTGATTGATTAGAAAGAGAAAATTTTTAGTACCCAGGGGATATGTATAATGTCTACCCAACCAAATCTTGCCTATAAAACTCTAAAATGCATTATTCATTCTCCTGACCTTAAAACATTTCCTGCTTTTAAAAATAGAGAATACTAAACAGGATTTAAAGTTTTCCTGATGACTCAGGACCCACCATTGTGGAAAATAATTTCATAATGATGTGATTTCCCAGGGATTATAAAGGTGGGTAGTGCTGCTAGCGCCTACCAAATGGCCCAGATCATCATAGTCTTTGAAGTTTTCACTTGTTACCTCCAACCTACCTTACCACCAGCTGATTGTTTATACTTATGTCAGGGTACCTGCTCATAGTAATCCATGTGTATGTCCAACTGCTCAATCTAACTGAGGAAGTTTTTGCCTATGTACTGAGTAACTCTCAATAACCATCTTTCAGTTCTGTTTGCTTTCAACATTTTTCCATCTCTTTTCTCTGTTGTCAGCTGTAATTTTTATTGGTATCAATATGCTTTTCTGTTTCTAATTTGGGAGTTTGTTTTATAGTAGTCTGGAAGAGAATCCGAAGACAATTTTGTAGAAATGAGGAACCATGCATGAATTTTGAAACCTCTGTTTTCTATGTCAAAGCCTTTTGTCTCCTATTTCCAGACCCACAGCTTTATTTAAGACATTAGAAGGTGTTCATTTAATTTTAGAGATAGACTGGTTTTAGGAAAGGTTTTAGAAAACTTGATAATAGGTTTTTAAAAAGAATAAAACTAATAGAATAACTTGAATATTTCAAAAGTAAACTTTAATAATACAATCTCCTAGACCTTGAGTATTTAAATAAATGAGTAGACAGGTAGTTGAATTAATAGATTATTTCTTCTTTGAGGTACTTAGTAAACTAAATTAGTTCTTTATAGACCCATCTCCAAGGGAGTTATGATAAACTTTTTTTTTGGTACTGGGGATTGAACTCGGGATCTTGCGCTTGCAAAGCAGGCAGTAGATCCACTGAGCTGAATCCCCGGCCCATGGTAAACTTTCTTAATAAACTATAGAAGCCTCAAAAATAAGGATTGGGCTTAGTCATTTTTCTGTCTTCTATTGTGCCAATATAGTGTGAGAAACAAAATACTCATCAATATTTGTTGAGTGTACTTTAATTGATTAATTGACCATCATTCTATAAGACTTTTTTGTCACCAGAGAGATAAAATGTTCTGCAGACTCTAATCTTCAAGATGGGAGGTGAATGTTTTTAACTGTGCAATTGCTGCAAATAATCTCCAGGATCACATTACTTTCACTCCTCTCCTCCACAGTCCTCTCCACCTCAGCTCCTTCCTCTGCTACCACCCATGCTTTCTGAGTAAATGATCTTTCACCACATTTTGTTTTGGAGGCTTTAAACAGAAGCTGAAAGTTTAGGCTACACTGG